GAGGTCGGATGGCGGAGATATCATGACGGGAAGAAATGGGAATTTCAGAACTTCCCCCGGCGATTGCGGCTGATTCCGGCGGGGTTGGAGGTCGTGCCGCATGTCGTTGAACTCAGCTCGTCGAGATCTTTCTATTGACACCGGCGGTGTCAAAAATGGAGGTCGGAATCTTAACTTGAGTATTTGGCCATTGATGGTTTGTGTGAGAGAGAACGTGAGAGGAGAGAGAGAATGAGCGAGAATAAGAGAAAGAAAGTGCAAGAACCCTAAAAATTTCACTATATAAAGTATCTGATTAAGGCAAGATTACGTGCCTGATCTTATCCTCAATTATTTCCTCTAAACAGATTAAATTTATACTGATTAGAGGTAATTAGTTTAGCTCACGTAAGTTAATCTACTACTTACAGTCCAATATCAATTTCTGAATAATTAAATATTGTTTTATATTCTTACTCGCGTAATATTTCAAACTGTTTCAAGTCTTGAAATTAATTTTAGACTGAACAAATTCTAAATTTTAATTTTCTGTATTCTATCCCGAGAATGACGTTTCTGACAGTGTCAACTCCCGAGCTCATATTGTATCCATCTACTATAGGTATTTATCTTGTGACTTTAACCTAACTGTTTGGCAATTAAGGATTTTTTTCTTCTTTTAAAATGTCAGTGCGTTTTTTTTATATGCCGCTAACATCGTGCTGTGCTTAGAGATTCTTGAAATTAAGATTCTCAAACTATACTTGTACTGAAAATTATTCTGCCTTAAAATACGGTGAGAATTTATCGATCGAATTTACTTGATCGAAACATGAACTTAACATGAAATTTGCTATAGAATTTAGGAATACATATATTAATTCCATAAATCCTCCATTCACAATATAACATAATATTTTCTAAGAAAATCCTTGGCTTAAAAATACATGAATTGTATTATTTAAGGTCTGAAATTTTCTCAGTCATTACACTACCCACGGAAGATGTTAGCATAGGCGCAGATGGCAGAGCACAAGCAACTCGATCCACATCCCAAGGAAGCCCCTGAGAATTTCAGCTTAATATCCCAAGGTTGCGTCTGGATTTGGAGAATGTCAGTTGTATAGGAAATGATTACAAGCCTCTAAAAGCGCCTGGAACGGATCACTAGCTATTACAGGGATCTACAGAGCCGTAATGGAGGGACAAATTGGATGAGTGAACAGTCCAAAAGGTAATGGCAGGCTACGGTCTGAACAAAAGAGGCCATAGGCCACTCGAGTGGGCGGGCCTCATGAAGGAGACAGTCAAATGGTCCAAACCGCCTACCATTGGGCAGAGACTCATGCAATATCCACTATAAAAGGGAAGAGCCCCCGAGAGAGAGGGGGATGAATTTTTTTTTCCTTACGCATTTGTAACTTGTAAGAACAAAGACAAGAGAAATACAATACAGTGGATGTAGCTCTTGATTAACAGACTGTGCCACTATAAAATTCCTGTGTGTTCTTACTTTCATAAGCATAATCTCACTTACTTCACAACCTAGCAAAAACCCTACTACGAATTCCAGCATATTCAATGAAATCCTAAGTTCCAAACCGGTAACCCAACGGGCTACCATGGGGTAATCCGGTAAGGTCTTTTTGACGAAATTCCACCTTCAACAGTTGTCAAAACTTTTTAATAGGTGACAACTTAATTCGTGTTCTTTTTAATTTTAGCAAAAAATCCCTAAACTTTATCCATTATTTAGTTAACGGATTTTCACCTATCAGTTCATTTGGGAATGAAATGACTTAGGGGCTATTCGGCAGGGTTAAAAACTCAAAAAAAGGTAACTCGAGTTCCAACTTTATTCAAGTTCATGTTCTATTAAGTTTGAACTCGAGTTTGAACTCAAGTTTGGGACTAAAACTCGAGTTCAAGTTTCCCCTTCAACTCGAATTCAGAAACTCAAACTCAAATTATTGAACAGTATTTTTTCTATTCTTAAAAATGCTATAACTTTTTCGTTTTAATCCTGATTGAGATTATTTATTTCTATGCGTTGACAACGAAAAAACGAATAAAATCTAAAAAAATAAAGAAACCCAAAATAAAAAATAAAGAAGAGAAATTGGGCCATGTTTCCCGGGGGAGGCCACCTTTCACATAATCTCTCGAACGAGAAAAAAAAAAAAAAAAAAAGAAGAATCGGATGATCACTCAAAACTAGTTTTTACATTTTTTTCTTTCTTTCTTTTGACTCACTCAAACACAAACTCAAAAAAGATTATTATCTCAAACCATAACTCAAATGTACACAACCAAATACAAACTCAAGTTACAACTTTAAATCAAGTTATAACTCAAATTCAACTCAAGAACTACACTCAAGTCACACTCTAAAAGAACAGGCCCTTAATACCCAAAAAATAATCAAGAAACAAAACTTCAGAGGAAAAAAAAAAGGCACTTGTAAAACAACGATAAACAGAAAACCAACAAAGTATTTACCGATGGTTTTAAAATTGGTTTTGTACTATGAGGATAAGCAGCCGTCTTTTAGTGTTTTTTGCATTATTGCATATATCAACTAAATGAAATATAGAAGTTTTAAGGAAACAAAAATTTTGCTAACGGCACATGAGACAATTTAACTTCTAGTGGTGCAACTGGTTTTCTAAGTCCTAGCAAATACTTAAAAAAGTAAATGTGTGTGTGTGTGTAATATGTATGTAGGAGACGAATATTCAATATTAGAATAAGACTAGCCATGTGAGGGGAAATTCAATGTGATCAAACTATAAAATAAAAAAATAATAATAAAAAAATAGTCAATGTGATCATGTTTTTTATGGCCGTTTGTTATTCTTTATCATTATTATTGCGTTTACTCAAAAGATTATAAATAATATAAGTAATAATCGTGCATCACACCCATATATAAAGAAAATAAAACATTGTCGTTTCATGTAACGACCACGATACAAACCATAAAATTACTGCTTTTTAATCAGGGATTTGGCTCACAAATTTAATTAATATGCGCATCAGGTGCACATGTCTATTTAATTATTATCTGAGATGTATTATTGATCTTCACATGACGTATCAAGATCATGTGAATAGTTTTTTTTTTCTTTTTTTTCTTTCTGAAGAGCATGTGAATACTTGACCATAATATAAGGCCAATTAATCAGCGACTCCTAATGCCAACAATGGAGTCCAACAAGAACCAGAACGTTCTTCACATAGCAGTGTTCCCATGGCTAGCTCATGGCCACCAAATGCCATATTTTGAGCTCTCCAAGTTCTTAGCTCAAAAGGGTCACAAAATTTCATTCATTTCAACCCCTAAACACCTAAACCGCCTCGCAAAACTGATTCCTCAAAATCTTTCCCATCTCCTAACCTTGGTTTCACTTCCTTTGCCTCGCGTAGATGGATTGCCTCGAGGCGCTGAGTCAACCTCCGAGTTACCGACCGACAAAGTCCCTTTCCTCAAGAAGGCCTACGACAAGCTCCAACTCGGCCTGGCTCAGTTCCTCAAAGACTCAAACGACATAAACTGGATTATCCATGACTTTGCCTGTCACTGGCTATCCCGAGTTACGAGTCCACTCGGGATCAAGTTGGTTTGCTTTCCCATATTGAATGCTACAGCATTGTCGTTTTCGGATCGCCATTGGAGATCTTAGGCGGCTACCTACAGAAACCAAAGGACTTCACCGTCGTCCCAGCATGGATGGAGTTTCATTCCAACAACATCGCTTACAAGCCGCATGAGATTGCGAGCCATTGGAGCTGCATGGACTCCGAGATTTCCGATCATCAGCGGTGGGCTCAAGTGGTTCTGGGCACCGATGTTGTGATCGTTAGAAGTTGTCCTGAGTTTGAGGCTGAGACACTGAGTCAACTCAAAAGGCTTTACCAAAAGCCAGTCCTTCCAGTTGGGCTACTACCACCTTCTTTGAATGATGATAACTCCCTAGAAGATGAGAAATGGAAAGGTTTGAAACAATGGCTTGATAATAAAGAAGAGAAATCAGTGGTTTACACTGCGCTCGGTACTGAGGTGAGTTTGAGTCAAGATTTAATGCACGAGTTAGCTCATGGGTTAGAGAAATCCGGGTTGCCCTTTATCTGGGTGGTAAATGATCGCCCGCTAGTTGAAGGAATTTTTGGTTTGGATATAGTTTCACCTGGTTTCGAAAACCGGGTCTCGGGTCGGGGCTTGGTGTTGAGAGGTTGGGCGCCCCAGCTTGGTATTTTGGCTCACCGGTCGGTCGGCGGGTTCGTGACTCATTGCGGTTGGAGTTCTGTTATCGAGGCACTCGAGTTTGGGCGGGCTTTGATTTTGTTTCCTGGGGGAAGCGCGGATCAAGGGTTGATTGCAAGGTTTTTGGATGGCCAAAATGTAGGGTTGGAAATACCCCGGGATGACAAAACCGGGTCATTTACACGTGACTCAGCGGCCGAGTCGATTCGGCGAGTCATGGTTGACCAAGATGGAGAGCAACTCAGGGAAAAGGCACAGGGCATGAGGAAGATTTTTGGTAACTTAGAACTTCAGAATAAGTACTTGACTGAGTTTTCTGAATTCCTTGTGAATAAGAGCTGGAAAGGTGATGCAGGGGACTCAACCGCTAGTTTAACGTGATACGTTTACTTCAAAGTTTATTTAATATTATGTCGTTTCTTTCCTTTCATAAAGTTTCTGAGCATTTATATTATTTCTGTTTTAGATGAAAGCGTACAAAATGCTTGTTATTGGCATTGCCAGTTGGTACTACTAAGGGTGTGTTATAAGGAGGGAATAGTGATAGTAATGGTAATACAAATGAGAATGGAATAGAAAAAGAATGCACTGGAAACAAAAATTAATTCTTTTACTTGGTTAGAGTTATGAAATAACTTCAGAATGAAATGAGATTGATTGTGTGTACACAAAACTATCCTCAATAAAAAAATCAAATTACATAATCAATGTTTCTTTTGTTTTTAGTTTTTTTTTTTTTCATGAGATTGTTCTCAACATTAATCAAGTTCAAGATACAATTTTCTTTGCCGAAGAACAACTATAAATATGAAAAAACACAATCCAGAGTTTACCCAAATGTGGAAAAAATCATTGTCTGAGAACAATTATGTAATACCCCAAATGTAAAAAAAGACCATAATCAAAGAACACCTACAAATCTGTAATCACTATGCAATAAAACCATTTTGAAGAACAAACTCATATCTGAAAAACCAAAAATCTGAACAAACTAAATCTGGAAAAAGAAACCCATTAATTTCTGCGTACAAACACATAGAAATGAAATCCATGTCAACAATAGAACGAAATCGGCTACAATTTCAAAGGAATTTTTCCTTTTGGGTACAAAACCATCATTTTTTACACATGAAATTGTCTTCTGCTGTGAGGAAGAAGACTGACAGACTAAAAAAGACAATGGACAGAGCCAAACTCGGCTAGTGAAGCTTCAATTCGACAGTGGAATGTCGATTTAGGCGCCACTTGGTGTGAACTCCGACGATCTCCGGCTGTGCTCAATGCTAGTTCCGGCGGTTGGATTTGAGAAAGAAGAACATATGGGTTTTGATTTTCGTGTACTTTGTGTTCAGAAGATGGAGAGGATAGTCAGGGAAAAAATAATTCCACCAACGTCAGAATCACAATTCCACTGAATCATGGGATGAATGGCATTTCCACCAAAATGGGTGAATGGGCTTTCCATTAGAAAGGCCTTTCTGATAAAAATTTCTTAATCAAACAAAATATTCAGGCCTTGACAGAGGAATTGTCTTGCTTTTCTATTCTATTACCTCCAACCAAACACACCTTAATAGTTGTAGATGTAAGAATTAAGAATCAACTTACGAAATAAAAACAAGATTCCCTGATGACTAATGGCAATTTACTAAGTCCAAACCGCATTACTATCACGGATAATATTATTCTTATCAGAACACACTTAACTAATAGCACTATTATTACTTCACTTATTCTAAGTTTTCACAGCCGTTCCTTATTCATGCCGAGAGCCAACAATTGTGAGCAAGGGCTCCTAATAACCTTGGTCAAGCAAACTCCTGGCTATGTTCCCATTGGCACCACGAGGGAAGAATCCGCCGGGCTTCGATTCGTCGCCGGTTCCGTATATTGTCCTCAAGATCTCCGTCTCGGTTCGCGCATAGGAGAGGGAGTAAACGTCGGCCGACAGGATGTTACTGGTGGTCCGGTTCTCCGCCCCGAGCTCCAGTGGTACTCTTAGGCCTTCGTCTTTTATGCCACACGTGGCGAGCTCGTCAAAAAGAGATGAAATAGCAATGGTAAATTGTTCAACTGTTATCTTATATGGATACACTTCCTCTTTGCCTCTCTCGTACAGCAATGCGCGTATAACTGCATCCTGGCCAGACTCCACGCCCAAGAGTTTAGCCACTAACTGCATGTATCACGTCCGGCAATAAAGAAAACATTTACTACGTGTATAGTCTACAATAATAAACATGTATACATGGTTTCTTTATTTTATGATGAACGTTTAAATACTATAAGATTTTTATCCTGACATTTTTTTTCCATTACATATGAAAATAGAAGGGAAAAAAGAAAAACACCCTTCCTCGTTTTTTATGAGATGGAATTTTTTTTTTTTCCTTTTTTTTTTTTTTTTTTTTTGAAAAGTATGAAAGTTTCAGTTTTTCACCAAGCAGATGATTCTGAGGAATTGAAGTCTAGACCATGTGAGATAAAACCACAAGCCTGGCTGAGCAAGGAAAGAGGTTTTAGTGAAGGGGTTAATCTTACTCTCCGAGAAGATTTAGACTCGAGATTTGGAATGGCGCCAACATAGCCTACTAGCCCCACATAAGGTATTAAGTAAATTGTTAGGAGAAAGTTGAGTGAGTTCTTGTATGGGTCAAATGGAGGTTTCAGAGGGTAACCAACTGCTCGGTCAAATATTTCTGCGAAAGTCTCACGGCTGATATTTATCAAAGGCCTAGGAAATCCTCCCACTTCATCAACAATGGCCCTGCATGCATGCGTTTCACATTTTTTATGGTTAAAAGAAATATAAAATAATCGTAACGACATATATACATGTACATATATATATATATATATATTATAACATGTAAAAACGTTCATCAAGTAGTTAATAGTTGATGTTTTTGGTACTGACGAACCTGATATGGCCAACTTCTTGATAGGCAAACTCCTCAGTGATCCTATAAACAAGATCGTCCAGATTGGCCTTCTCACATCCAATAGAAGGAGGGCCACCTTTGGCCAGAGATTTATTTATGGAGTCGAGGCCTTTCCCGGTAGCTGCACACAAGAACAACTGCGCCTCCAAGAATTCTAAGTTCAGAGCAAACTCAATCCTATCGGAATCGTTGGCTTTAACGGGCCCGCATAGAGGAGGCGGATAAGTATCCCACGCAACGCTCAGTTCCAGAAGAACAAGAACAAGAACAAGAAAGGAAAGGAAAAATGACGGAACCCCCATTGTCTATTTCAATGTGATGATATTGGCTGAGGATACAGGGGGAATGTTATGTTACATGCTTTTATATATTGACATGCAAGAAAGATTGGATTTGGATATACCACCAAAAGATGAAGACTTTTTGTGCTTTCTGTAGCACATTGGAATCTTGGGAGCTAGCGAACGTGTACGACACATCAAATGATCATTTTGTCCAAATAAGGTCTAAGTCATCACGTAATCAGAATTAGCAAGTAACTGTTGACATATGACATTATGAAGCAAACATACAAACCAACCTTATTTCTGTGAGTAATTAGATGGCGTTCCGAATTAACAAACAAAAAATAACGTCACTGTTAAAGTACAGACTCGTTTAAAACAACCAGATCAAGAAGCTAGCCAAGTGCTTATGATGGAGGGAATTAAGCATGTACCACTTTTCTGTCATGATATGCTTTTTCTTCAAGTACATAAATTGAATTTAATTTGCTGCTTGCTAACGTGTAAATCATATCTTTGATATTGTCAGACTAAATTAGGCAGATACCGAACTGCTAATTCATCACCCAAACCAAACTTTGTACGAAGAATTAAATGCTTGTGAGTGTGTCCACGGTTGGAAAAATAGTTTGGAAACCTTTTTTTTAAGGTATTATTTTGATACTCAAATTTTGAATAGGACCCACTTCGTGTTAATGACGATTAATTTTAGATTTGTGTTCTCTCACACGAGTAGATCGAAATAATAAATTTATATCCTTAAAATGGTGAGCGGGTGAATAAGAAATTGAGTCTTGAAATAATCCCATGAAGTTGGAAAAATCAAAAGAAAACTCCCAGAATGTGATCTCGTTTTTCCACATGATCAAAAAGAGATGAGGTCATTTTCTTCTCTAAGAGCATCTCCGAGAAAATTCTCTAAATTTTAACTAAATTCTAGCTAAAATGACTAGAAAATTATTTTAGCTAGCAACTTTTTAATGAGTCGCTCTAACCATACTTCATATTTTAGCTAAATATAAATTATTTTAATATTTATTAAATTTAAAATATAAATAATTTTATTAAATTTAAAAAAGAGTTTACATTTATTACAGTTAAAAGAATAAAATAATATAAAAATAACTTCATGCTAGCTATATTTAACAAGTGTGAAAGACATTCTCTAAAATAGCTAACCATTTAGCTAATGGTTGAAGTGGAGAAAAGTTTATATATATAAAGGGGGGAAAAAATTTTTAAAAAAAAAAAAAAAAAAAAAAAAAAAAAAAGCTAAATCATTAGTTGTTTTAGCTAAAAACATGTAATGCTCTAAGCCGTACAAAAAAGATTCCACTTCTCATTTGAGACACACTAAAATTTTAGAGTTTTCTTCTTCTCTAAGAAATTCTTCTTTTGGTTCTATATGGGGTCTTATCCTGTGATGAAGCATTCGATCTTAATTTTTTGTTATTTTGGATTTTGCTGTTTATTTGAAATGAAACTTCTGAGATTGAATTTCATTAATAATATTATAGGTTAATTAACATCTTTCATTGATTTCATTACATGATGAGTAACTCTCCCGGAAGTGTTAGAGGTTTTATGTGTTCTTTTCCTTTTTCTTTTTACATTTAATACTCTTAAGTAGTTTATGTTAGGTCTGTTTTTCGGTCGGTGTCACAAAAAGTGTTATAACACTGATGACAAATACGTGCAGATGGATATAATTTTTCTTTAATTCAGCAGTAGCAAATTACAAGTGCAGAAAGATCAACAGAAACATAAAAGACATCTGCACGTATTTGTCATCAGTGTTACAACAAATGTTATAACACTCTTTGTGACACCGACTGAAAAACGGACGTAACAATTGGTATCAGAGCGGTTAACCAACCGTTTGTTTGGTGAGGTTTTGAGATTTGGTCTGTCAGGGATGGACTTTCTGAAAGAAGGTTGCTCAGTTTCGCACCTTCCTCTTCTTGATGGATCCAATTATTCATATTGAAAAGCTCGCATGAAAGCGTTTATCAAGGCAATCGATGAAAAGGCATGGCGTGTTGTATTGATTGGATGGAAACATCCAGTAACCATGGACTCTGAAGGGAAAGAAGTTATGAAGCCTGAAGAGAAATGGTCCACTGAAGAAGACAAATTGGCAAATAACAACTCAAGAGCGCTAAATGATATTTTTAATGGAGTGGATGCCAATCAATTCAAACTCATTTCTACATGTGAGTCGGCCAAGGAGGCTTGAGAAATTCTACAGACGGCACATGAGGGCACGGCAGCCGTGAGACTATCAAAACTTCAAATTCTCACTACCAGGTTTGAAAACTTACGCATGCTTGAAGATGAAACAATTTCTGATTTCAATTCGAAGTTATGTGATATTATTGCTACTGAGGCTTTTGTACTTGGTGAGAAAATTTCTGAGGAAAAACTGGTGAGGAAGGCATTGAGATCACTCCCTCGAAGGTTTGCTTACAAAGTGACAGCTATTGAAGAGGCCAAAGACGTGCGGTCAATGAAGCTTGACGAATTAATGGGCTCTTTGCGTACTTTCGAGATGAACCTGAATGAAAACAAGAAGGAGAATGAGAAAAACATTGCTTTTCAAGCCGAAGTTGAAGCAGTTGAATCCGATGATGAAAAAGACTTAACCAAGTCCATAGCACGGTTATCAAAGAATTTCAACAAGGTGATGAAGAAGTTCAATAACAAGAACCACACACCAAACTTTAGAAACTCAAACCATTTCTAGAAGACTAAAGCTGCAGTAAATAACACAGAGATGAAGACAAAAAATAGGGGTATTCAATGCCGAAAATATGACGGTTACGGCCACATTCAATCCGAGTGTGCCAACACTCTAAAGAAGAAGAAGTCACTGAATGCGACGTGGAGTGATGAAGACTCTGAAGGCAGTCAAGAGGATAAAGACCATGTGAGTAACTACGCCTCCAAGAATTCTAAGTTTAGAGCAAACTCAATCCTATCGGAATCATTGGCTTTAACGGGCCCGCATAGAGGAGGCGGATGAGTATCCCACGCAACGCTCAGTTCCGGAAGAACAAGAACAAGAACAAGAAAGGAAAGGAAAAATGACGGAACCCCCATTGTCTATTTCAATGTGATGATATTGGCTGAGGATACAGGGGGAATGTTATGTTACATGCTTTTATATATTGACATGCAAGAAAGATTGGATTTGGATATACCACCAAAAGATGAAGACTTTTTGTGCTTTCTGTAGCACATTGGAATCTTGGGAGCTAGCGAACGTGTACGACACATCAAATGATCATTTTGTCCAAATAAGGTCTAAGTCATCACGTAATCAGAATTAGCAAGTAACTGTTGACATACGACCTTATGAAGCAAACATACTAACCAACCTTATTTCTGTGAGTAATTTGATGGCGTTCCGAATTAACAAACAAAAAATAACGTCATTGACTAATATGATTAAAATTTTCAATTAGAATTTGCTTATCATAGTTAAAGTACAGACTCGTTTAAAATTAGGACTAGGTTATTGAATAGTGTTGTGTGTGTTCAATATAGATCTCATCCATCCAATTGGATGAACTATCTAGTTTTGTTTTGCTTAAATAGGATCAGCCCTTCAAGTAGATAAATTATAAATAAACCCGTCGTATTTCATTCAAAGAATCATTTCCAATGCCAGATAGGGACGTCCAGCTACCAACCATTTTTTCATCCATTTCGCTAATCAACTCACTGATATGTAATACAATTCATTTTGGCAATAAGAAAACTACAAGCAAACAGAAATTAAAGTGTTTGATTTATACAAGTCATTTGAGAAAGAGCTCAAAGATACAAGCATGTGATGTATTAACCAATAATTACGGAAAAATAAATCTAGTTGAGCAGTACCATCAACTTTCCAAAACGCGCAATTTCATTAACAAGTGATGTACTCGGAAAGGAAAATCCGGACATTATGATGGGATTTTGTAACAAGAAAACAAGAAATCCATAGAATTATGGATACAATTTGTCCTGAGACATCTTTATCCCAGAATGGAATTTCTTTTATCTTATTCTGCAGCGTCTTAAGCAGACAGAAGCTTTACTGGACGATAATGCGCTTGGCGCCTTCCAACGTATTCTTGAGAAGCATTGCGACGGTCATTGGCCCCACCCCACCCGGAACAGGAGTTATCCATCCCGCTACCTTGCATGCTTCATGGAAATCTACATCTCCAACTAACCTATAACCTGACTTTCTGCTTCGGTCATCGACAGCATTTGTGCCAACGTCAATAACTGCAGCGCCCGGTTTGATCCAGCTGCCCTTGATCTGGAATTGTACGAGTAAATTTATGAATAAATACATAAAGAAAATCATTGCGTATATATCAGACACCAAACACACCATTAAGAACTAGCGTCTACAAAACAATGAATAGGTAAAGAAAAATTTGGGAGCGTGATTTTTTGTCTTACGGGATATACTAATGTATTATACCAGGAACCTATCTGCTACTTCAAACCAGTAACGGCAATTGATTAAAGCTTTCTAGAGTTGATGGGTAATGGAAAAGACCCTCTGTTTATTTTTCATTCTCTTGGTTAAGCTAGTTTTTAATTTCGTATTTATTTGATGCTTGAAGTATTTGAGATTTGAGAATATAATCTTCAGTGTTTGTTTTATAGCTAGGTATAAGAATCAATCGGCTTCCTCTTGCAGCAAATTTCGATAGAAGTTACCAAACTCAGTACTAGTTAACTAACAGGAAGTCATACAATGATTAAACGAGGAAAAGTAAGCAGACAATTCCTTTGCTAACGAAGAGTAAACATAAGAAAATCAATGAATTACCATCATTGGTTGCCCTGCTGCAGCAATAACAATGTCCGCTTCGCGGATGGCTTTTTCTGGCTCGGAAGAACGCGAATGCACAATGGTAACTGTAGCATCTGCTTTCAAAAGAAGCAACGCAACCGGCAACCCGACTATGTTACTTCTGCCGACCACAACTGCGTTCTTTCCCTTCACACTTATACCACTTCGCGAGAGAAGCTCGAGGCACCCCTGCAGGCAAAGAAAAGGCAACGTTTAAAACCAATAAAATCTTCAATTTTGTAGTTTAACATCTGCTTACATATTCAACACACACACCCAAAAAAAAAAAAAAAAAAAATCTTGCCTTGGGAGTACAAGGAAGGAACAGAGAATCTCTGCCTTTCATTGCGAGCTTCCCGATGTTAAGAGGATGAAAACCATCGACATCCTTCTCAAGGCTGATTTCACTCAGAACTTTCTCTTCGTTTATATGCTTCGGCAATGGAAGCTGAACTAGTATACCTACGATGAATTCACAACAACAACAAAAAGACGAACAAACAAACGAACAAACGAACACTTTCAACACCCAAACAGATAAATAATCTAATAACAGTATATCGAAATTTATGAATCTGCGCAAGAAAAACGAAATGGAAAGGATTCAAACCGTGTACATCGGGATTGGCGTTGAGCTCGTGGACTTTGCAGATAAGGTCGGATTGCGAAACATCCTCGGGAAGATCCAAATCGAAGGATTTGATTCCAACTTCAGCGCAAGCCTTCCTCTTCATACTCACATAGCTCTGAGAATCCTTTCTGGTCCCGACAATCACCACCGCAAGTCCCGGCACCTGAGAACCAACACACATTTTACCAATTTTTTTCGATTTCTCGTTCGGCAAAGAGTTTTGGTTGGTTTTCCGTGATTTTTGTAATTGGAAATCGTTTAGGGACTGACCTTCCCGTATTGCTCGGAGAGATGGCGGACTTCGGCGGCGATCTCTGATCGGATGGTCTGGGCGATGGCTTTGCCGTCGATTATTGTGGCCTTGTGATCCGACGGTGAGGATGACGCCATTGAAGAGTTTTCTTTTTTCTTTTTTTTTTCCTTAGGAAAGGATAGTGTGCGACTTCTTTTGTGACTGTAAGAGTGAGTGCCTGGTTTTTTTTCCTAATTTTAATTCGTAAAGTTAGGAACTTTCCACCGATATTATTTGTTTAATACATGTGCTTCTGAGTTCTTCGTGGCAATTTAACGTTAGATGTATTATATATTTTTAAGATATGATAAATATTTATTAATTTTGATTTTTTAAACCTGTTTATTTTGAAAATAAATTTTTAATATTTCATCAAGAATAGATACTAATAAAGTAATAAATTATTTTAAATAAAGAAAATAATGAATTAATGTTTAAGTTGTAATTTATTTTATCATATGGCGTGGTAATTTTATACATAAAAGATTTAAAATAAATATTCTACATTAATTAGATAGATATGTGAAAAAAGAGAAGATATTATTTTACAAGAGAAATCAATTTCAGAGAAGAAAAAAGCAAAAACAAAAAAAAAGTCATTATGAAAGAAAGAAACAAAAAGAAAATGATAAAGAATTTATGACAATTTTACTGAGTCTTATTCACCAAATTAAAAATATGAGAAAATTGTATAATTTCCTCTTAAAAGTGTACGGGTCTAATTTACTCTTAAAAGTGTACGGGTCTGACTTTTTACTCTTCATTATTGATTAATACTCTTTTGTTAGTGTAGTTATTTGACTAAAAAAGTTATTAATTAAAAGTAAGAGGTAAAAATTCTAATCCATGCACTTTTAAGAAGTATTTGTCTCATTTCCTTAATTAATATTTTAAAAATTTTAAGTGATATCAAAAGAATAAAAAAAGAAGCACATGAGGATAAAATAGATAGACCATGTTTTTGAATAATAAAAAGAGAACTCTCAACAATAAATATAGTTAAAAAAAATTAATTACTGTATACTAATTATAACCAATGGTTTGATATATATGAAAGTGAAGAAGAAGAAGAAAAAAAAATAGATGGACCAAATTTTTTAATAGTATTCAACAAGAACTATCCTTTATAATATAGTAATAGAAACAAACTATACTTTTTAAGTTGGATCTAATCAAAATCATATCAAAATACAAGTCAAAACTCATCATTTCCCGCTTTCTTTGACTTTGAGCATGTGGGATAGGATTTGCAAGCAATCTAAAAATTGAAATCCGATATTGTTGTTTGGTTGGTTGTCGGATTCCCGACCTTAGAGATGGAGAACTGGATCTCCTTGGTGAGTTTAGTAGGTATTTAGTTCAGCTTTGTGGCCAAGGATAGGTTGTGATGTTGATGAGTGGGTGTTTGTCGAACCTTCTTTTGCTTGTGCAAGGCGCAACTCTCTGAATTCATGCTTCCTTGGGGATGAAGCTGGGGGAAGGGAGAGTTAGTGGAGTTTTGCTCAGTGACAGAAGTAGTGTTGTGGCTGGCCTCGCTGGTGGATACATATAACACCCTTAAGAATTAAGTATGTTTAATTATACTAATTGTGATTTATTAGTATGTCTCATTTAATTTTCTCAATTAATCAAGAAATTTTTAAGTTACTTTTAGTATTCACAATTCCACTTTGGAAGTGTGTGGAAATACATACTTCCACCATTTCCTTTTATTTACCCTTCAGTATTACTTTTTCATTTATTTTCTTTTCTTTTCCTTTTCTTTTCCTTATTCTCCCTCTCACTCTCTCATTCTCTCACCCTCTCTCACGTCTATCTCTCTCTATTTCCCAGAACTCTCTCCCTCTCACTCTCGTTCTCACTCACTCACTCACACACACACACACACACACACTCTCTCTCTCTCTCTCTCTCTCTCGTTCTCACTCTCTCTAAGCGGATTTTGAACCGGATTCGAACCAAAAATGAGGATTCCCAAGAAGTTTCAACATCAAAGTCTAGATCAAGATAAAACTCTTTGATACTCTCTTTAAATTTCAGATCTAGCCTTGTGGAACTCGTTTTTAGTCGAGTTTGGTGATTTTTGGTTTAGATTTGTTTTTGAATGGATTTTAAATAGGTTTTCATGAAACCTTGATGAAATTTAGGGGCTTTTGATTCTTTGAACCCCATTTGCTTATTGGAACCTGAATTTGTTGATTTCGTTTGAGAATATGTTGAATCAAACCCAAAAATTTCAGGTTTGGCCTTGGAACCCACGAATCGGCCTTTGTTGTTGGTTGATCTGCTCCCCACCGGTCGACCGGTCCATTCGACCGGTGGAGTTACACTCCTCTATCACCGGTCGACCGGTTCACACTAAATCTGACCCTAAATAGTTTAAAACCCTGTTTTGACCCTGAAATTCGATGTAGACCCCACCTAACCTCATTTGGGAACTTAAAGTGAGTGGATTAGCCACATTAATCCTTGTTTCCATTCCATTTCTCTTAATTGAATTCCAATTCTCAAAGAATCATGATTTGAATTAAGAATTGTTTATGAACTTTGATTTTGAGTTAAGGCACACTAGTATGGTACAATTGTATATAACTAAACTAGATTGTTTAGAAGAAAGGATAAACTCTAATTGTTGGTTTTGATGACGAAGCTAGTGGCACGATTAGACTTGGAGCTTCAAAGACAAGTAGAGCTAGGTCTACGTAAGATAGCCGCAGGTTTGATATCAGGGAGGTAGGATATTCTTCCCATATCCTTGTTAGCATGTTTTAAAGTGTTTTGGCCATGTAATGTTTTCAAAAGATAAGGATATGTTGATAAAGAAAAGTATTTCAAAACAATAGGTTGATTTTCGCTATTGATATGATAATGGACTGATTTCAAGTTTTTAATGAACATTTTCTTAAGATAAGATACCTTGCGAACTGGTAAGCCCGCTGATGGCCTAGATAGGATATGGAGATCGTATCCTTGGGAGCAAAACCTAAAACCCGGACGGGCCACTACGGTGGTGTTAAGGCCTTGCTTCGATCGTAAGTAATTTAATTACTTAAATTACTTGCTGGTTGCTTGTAAACTGGAACTTAAGTTTATTTACCTTTCAGAAAAAGATTGTTTGGTTCTGATTGATTTCTTTCGGCTCTGATTATTTCATTTTATTTATTTACTTATTTATTCAGTTTTATAAACTTTATCCTACTAGGCTTTTCGCTCATTTTTCTTATGTTTCAAAATGTATTTAACCCCACCCAGACGACGCTAAAAGTAATGCAGAATAGGTGAGGAGTTCAGTTCTAGAAGAAATGAAGCAGTGAAGTATTTCCCTTCATTATCAGACTCATTAAGGCATGTATTAACTATGGATTGTGAAACCCTAAACTTTACTAAACTGTGGTTGATGTCAATTACTTACTTTTCTGTATTTAATCATGTATGCATAAGTGTAACCTTGTGGATGCCGGAGGCTGACTTTTGATGTTGATTTTAACAGTGATTGTATTTTGTGAAGTCCGCCTCACTTTTTCTTATAACTCGATTTCGTTAAAATAGCAGGGATTGTTTGGAAACACTTGAGTGTTTTGGATTTGAAATTAAATTTTGAAATGTTAACGGTTTAATCACCCTTTTAATCATGTTTAATTTCTAAACAAGTCTCCGCGTCACTGACCCCTGTTTAGGGGCGTGACAATACACGTGGTGTCTTTGGTGTTTTAATGGCTTGGGCCTTAGGGGTTTTCGTCTCAATTGCGTCTCCTTTGGAAGTGCACATCTTAGCGTTGGTGGTCCATGCGCTGGTGTGTGAATCTCATGCTCCGACGGATGGGTGTTTCTCATATGGCCCTCTTAGCCCTCTGTTGTTCTTATCTCATTGGTCTTGGTAGTTGTGATGGTTAGCTCTTCATCAGTGGTGCTATCCACGGTGTCGTGGCTTCCTTTTACATGTTTGTTTTTTTTAGTACATGTTTATTTTTAGTAAAGACGATGTTGATTCCCCCATGTAGTTTCATGTTTCGTTATCTTTTTTGTTTTCAGTCTGTAATAACTGATGAGGTCTCTCAACTCTCTACTATTGCTTTTAGTTCAATTCGTTAGAACTATTTCTTAACGGTAATGTTGGGACTTGTGTTCCTATATCGAGCAGGGGTGATTTTTTTAATTTTTTAGTGTTAGAAACCGATTTAGGTATTATCTCTTTGTGCGCTTTATTAAAAAGTACCGGTGAAATCGGATTATGACGAGGATTAAGTTTGCTTGAGGTTATTCGAGGATAAATTAGCTATGTATTACTCACCTTAGAATGAAATTAAGAGTGGCCAAAAACTAAGAAAATAAGAACGAGTGACACAAAATTAAAGAGGAGTATTGTGTTTATGTAGGGTGGTGGAATTTACATGGTCTTACTGCAGTGGCAAAAGTTGATCCAAATGAAAAGGTTGTGGGGGGATCGGCCCAGCCCACTTATCAACAAGGAGGGCCCGCCCAATTATGCCAAGTTTGAGAGGCCCAACCCATTATTCTCTTTCTTTTCTTCTTTTTTAAGTGAATACTTGTTTTTTTTTTAGAATAATTTTTTTTTTTTCGGATACTCATATAAATGTTCATTATTGTTAGGGTTAATTTTTCGGATACTCATATAAATGTTCATTATTGTTAGGGTTAATTTTTCGGATACTCATATAAATGTTCATTATTATTATGGTTAATCTCACAAATAGTTTCTGAAATTTACTCTCAATCTCACTTTAGTCTTTAACTTTTAAAACATCTCACAATTGGTTCATGATATTTTACTTTATTTCAGTTTCAGTCCTTTATTAACTTAGCGTTAAATATTTAGTGAATCTGTGAAATTAAGACTAAAATTAGAAACATATAAAATTTAGAGACAAAAATAATTCAAAAAATAAAAGTTAATTTTTATAGATAGTCTCAAAATCTTAATTGTTTCAATTTTAGTCTTTAATTTACACATATTTCATTAAATTTTAATACTTAATTAACAGAAAGACTAAAAATAAAATAAAATAATATTTTAAAAATTAACTGTGTAATGTTTAAAAAATTAAAAATTAAAATCGAAATGAAGATAAACTTTAAAGACCATTTACCAAATAAACTCTGAGCCCGTTTGGTAAAGGGATTTGTTTCCTGATTCGAATCATAATTTATGATTCATTACAGTATTTTTTCTCATAAAAAATATACATAAATTAAAAATAATTATAATCACATAATTTTA